TATGTATACTGCGTGCTGCACCGCATCTGCATGCATGCATTGCATGCGTTTTGTTGCTGCTGCAGAGTTTGCAACTCGACTTGAAAAAGATAAAACCCTCGATATTCCTTTGGAGACGAGAGAAGAGTTCTTGCGGGTAAAGGCAGAGAGGATCAGCGAAAGAGAAATAGAAAGCGACTTGCACAGAGAGATTCATATATATAGCAAGTGAGATAAAGCCCTTTATATGAACGAGGGTTTAGGGTTTAGGGTTTAGGTATTAGGGTTTAGGGTTTAGGGTTTAGGGTTTACTATGAACACACAATGTGAATGCAGGTATGGAGGCAAGGCACAGCTGAGAGGCTGCGGGCTCAGTCTTCTTTGTTCCCCCAAGTACCGCCAAACCCTAAACCCTAAACCCTAAACCCTAAACCCTCATTTGTTTTAGTCCCGAAATCCTCGCTCCTCTGAACCTCAAGCTCAAACCCTAAACCCTAAACCCTAAACCCTAGCGCTTTTCTTTCTATCTACAATTGGTGTTTTTTATTTGCAGAAGGAAGGCAGAGGGTTTGGCTTGCAGTCCGAACGCTCGCCAGGGGAAGAGACGTGAGTAACCTAAACCCTAAACCCTAATCCCTAAACCCTAAACCTCGATTTTAATTAAGCTTCTTTGCATGGGTTGCAGTTGCTGCATGCTAGGGTTTAGGGTTTCTTTGTTTGTGTTTTACTGCTGCAGTCAAAGCAACAGGGGGAGGCGCGTAAACGCTGGCGACTCGGATGGTAATTGAGGGTTTAGGGTTTAGGGTTTAGGGTTTACGCTTTAGGTGTGAGGGGCCTACATTGTGCGACTGCTGCCAGGCATTTAGGGTTTAGGGTTTAGGGTTTAGGGTTTAGGGTTTGGGTGTTTGTGTACAGATGAGTTCGCTGATGCAAATTTGGATACATTAGGGTTTGAGGGTTCTATAGAAGGCGGTTTGTTGAGGGTTTCTGCTGAAGAATTACAATATATAGAAAAAACAAAAAAAGAAATAAATAAAATAAATAAAAATATAACAACAAATACACCCTTTATACACCCTACACCCCCCCTCGATGATCTTACGCAGCCTATACACAGCGAAGAAGCTGTAGACAAAGTCATCGGCCACCTTGATAAGGTTTCAAAAACCCTAAACCCTAAACCCTAAACCCTAAACCCTAAACCCTTGTGGTGGTTGAGGGTTTATCAGTAATATCTGGGGGATTCTTCTTACAGCTTATTCTAGGGTTTAGGGTTTAGGGTTTAGGGTTTGGGTGTATGTCCATCTCGGCGGACCCAGATTCTCTTCTTTTCTTTTAACTGGGTATATATTCTTTGTAGTTGAAGCCTAGGGTTTAGGGTTTAGGGTTTAGGGTTTAGGGTTTGTGTTCAGATATCGCGGCCAGCTGATAGTTCTCGTGCGCTGGCGGCGGAGAGGAATTTGCATTGGAGTTTAATACTGCGAAACGGGTTGATAAAGGTGCGTAATTTTAATTAATTTTAATTTTAATTTATATTTTATTTATATTTTATTTATATTTAATTAATTTATTTTTATTTTATTTCGAGTTTCCCGCTTGAATCGGTACCTTTTTCAGGTGTATGCGCACCTATGTTGAATATTTTTTTCAGGTCGAAGGCCAGGAATTCCCCTTCAGCAGAATGGATGCTGATCTGCGTGAAATATGAAAAAAAATATTTTTAATTTAATTTAATTTAATTTAATTTATATTTATTTTTATATTTATTTTCATTTATTTTGGTTTTTACTTTATTTTTCTCTGAATTTCCATCGCTTTCTTGCTCGGGGGAATTCATATACTGACACCCCAAAGAGTTTGCTTGATATATTAAATGATTTAATTTAATAATTTAATTATTTCTTTTTATTTTAATTTTTTTATTTTATTTTAATTTTTTTATTTTATTTTAATTGATGCTGAAAGCTTAATTCGAGTGTATATACACCCGAATATGCCGCCAGAAGAAATCCAAGAAAATGAACCGCCACCCCCAGATGGAGAGGTAAGAAATTCAGCTTTCTTTGTTTTTTATTTTTCTTTTTTGTTTTTATTTTTTAGTTTTGTTGTTTGTTTTTATTTTTTATTTACTTGTTATTTGTATTTTTGTTTTGTTTGTTTTTCTGCTCAGTTTGTTTGTCGTTTGCATTTCAGTTTCCTTCGTGCGTTTTTTTGTATTTCTGTTTATCTGCTCGTTGTTTGTTTCTTTTTTATTTTTGTATTTATGTTTATCTATAAACAACTAAAATAATAATTGAATTGCTACCGCAGTACGATCGTTCTTCATATTGGGGTGTATAGGCAGCTGGTGGTTTGAGTTGTATTTTATTTGGGTGTATATGCACCTCTGCATACTCTAGTTATTGCTGTATATACATATATATATATATATATATATATATATATATATACCTATCGAATGAATTTAATGTCTAGGGTTTAGGGTTTAGGGTTTAGGGTTTAGGTTTTTTTTTTTGTATGAATGCAGGAATCCTGGGTTAGTTATTTTATGAAGGCGGCTCTGGCTGAGGCTCGTAAAGCTTTAGATGAGGGAGAGGTTCCGGTTGGTTGTGTTTTAGTTTGCAACAAAAAAAAAAAAATAGTAGCAGCAGCAAGAAACAAAGGAAACAACAAAAAAAACGCGACGAGGCATTGCGAGTTAGAGGCAATAGAACAGTATATAAATACTTGTATAAACAAACAAAATATTAATTATTTTAGTCTATATAATAAACATATTAATCTTTATTCTATAGATAGAGATAGAGATACAGATAGAGATAGAGATAGAGATAGGTGTATGCATAGTAGTAATGTTTATATAAAAGATAATACAAACAAAGACGAACAAACAAATATAAACAAAAATATAATAAATAAAGAAACAGAAACAAACACAAAAAAAAAAGAAAAAGAAACAAATAAAAACAACAAAGAAACAACAGACAGAGACAATACAAACCCAACAAAAAAACAAAACAAAGGCGAAAAAAAAGACAAAAAAAATAATTTTTTTGCTGCTGCAGCAGCTGCTGCAGCAGCACCTGCTGCAGCAGCAGCTGCTGCAGCAGCTGCTGCAGCAGCACCTGTTTCTGTTTCTTTTTCTCGTGTATCTCCATCACTATCACCGCGCCTGTTGTCTCCTTTTGTTTTATATTCTCTCTCTTCTCTGTCTCTCTTTGTTTCTGTTGAGCCCTGTATTATGTGTTGCTTCGCGCTTCGACTCTGCTGCATTCGCCGCATCTATTTCGGGTGTACGAACAGCAGGTTTGGGGGATGCGGGACGGTCCTTAACATACACAACTTTCGTCCTGCTGCTGCTGCTGCTGCTGCTCCTGCTGCTGCTGCTGCTGTTTGCTGCAGCAGCAGCGGCAGCGGGAACGGCACAGGGAACGGTGATAGCAGCAGCAGCAGCAGCAGCAGCAGCAGCAGAACGGATGTACAGATGAAACAACAAGGGTTTGAAGGGGAGC